CTTCGCGAACATCCACGAGGTTTGCGATACTTCTTTCCGAGTCTATCTTAAAGGTATTACTCTTAGGCTCTCTCTCCTGATATTTTGGCTGCATCTCTTTATATTCATCGGGTTCTTCACCCAATTTTTCCTATCTTTCGGCTGAGACCAGCCCTTCTGACTCAGTAGTTTACTCTACTATTTTTGATAGCCCACTGGCAGGGGGTTCGACTGCGGTTCGCACTGGATCGCTTCCGATTGAGTGCCAAGTTTTGTTGCACATTGTGTGTACGAACCTGTGGCCGATCGTACTCACTTCTTATTTACATTCTGATAGGGCTATATTTCTTTATGCCATAATTCACGATGACTCGATTGACCTTCCTACTTTCTTTTGCCAGCATATTCTTCGCACTTCCGAGTCCCTGGTCGTAGGATAGGTCTTCCTTATGCTTATCTTATTCATCGATTAGTCACTACCCTTGGCGTTGTCTTTCCTGAAGGTCTTATTATCGGTTAGGTCGACCGATTGGTCTTGTTACCATTTCGCAGAGTCGATCTCATGCTTCTTCTTCTTCTGCTCCTGTTGAGCCTACTGATCCAGTAGTACTAGCAGATACCATCGACGATCTTCTTTCTGCTGATCTGCCTTTCATTCCGCCATCTGAGGCTCCATCTACTTTTGGCGTCCCTCATTCTACGTCTTCTTCTGTCCCTCATGCCTCTTCTGTTGTTGATCACATGGCCGCCTTGATGGCCCAGATGTCTACTATGATCAGCCAGCAGGCTCGGCTGCTTGCAGAGGTGACTCAGATGAGGGCAGAGGTCACTGCACTGCGTAGCGAAGTTATAGACGTTCAGCGACGATTGCGCTGAATGCGAGAGCACTGGAAGTACGAGAGTGATGAGACTGATGGTTCGGATGGAGATGGTGTTCCTGCCTCGTAGATAAGGATACTGCTATAGTTGACATTGATATTTGTGTTGATAGCAGTTAGGCTGAATCTTGTTATCGTATAAACTTTTTGTAGCCCTTCTTCAGTTATTGGAATTTTCATTGTCATTTGTTGTGTGTTTTTGCTCCATTTCTTCGGCATTTGAGACAAAAAGGGAGATAATTTCATAGTAATGGGGAGATATATACACATTTCATGTCTAGAGCAGCTTGTTACATATTGATACTTATCAT